CGGTGTAGAACGGTGCCGCCGCCCGAACCTCGGGCTCGCCCTGTTTTTCCCAAAGCCGCTCCGCTCGCGTCCATTGCCGGCCCCGGGAGCGCTGGCTAAAGCTGCCGCCGGCAGCCGCCTCCTTCCCCGGGGGCTCGCGGTTTCTTCTTGCTCAGCAGCCGCGTTCGTTTCAGGGCCGCGGCAGAAAGGCTGAAGGCGCAGGCGGCAGCCGATTTCCCTGGCCCCGCCGAGCTCTCCCGGCGGCTGCCCCGGCCCTCTGGAAGCGCCGCGTCCCTTGCGGGGAGCGCGCCCCGGGGAAGCGCGCGCTCGGGGCCGCGAGCCGCGAGCGCCGCCAATCAGCGCCGTGCCGGGAGGGGCGAGAGGGGCCGGGCCCGCCCACGGGGAGGCTCCGCGCAGTCCTCATTCAGGTCGGACCGAGCGCGGCAGCGGCGCGGCCCCGGCTCTGCCCCCCGCCTCCGGCCCCGTCCGCGGCTCGGCGGCGGCGGGTACGGGGCTCGGGGAAACGGCGGGGGGCGGACGAAAGCCGGGAAAAAGCTACGCTGGGGAGTCTGTGCCTGCTGGCAGCGCCCATGCAGGAGTTTGCAGTTCGGGAGCGAAAGTCCTTACTGATGGGCAGGGAAGGAGGATTGGCGTTAATCTCGAATCTTTTTGCTCAAAAACAAAATAACTGAAAGACAAGACCACAGCGCCGTCTGGAACTGCGTGTGCTTTGAATTTTTCCCATTCACATTGGCATCCGTTCACGTAGCTCAACAGGGAAGCACCATGTAATAGCGGTCAGGAACAGATTTGTTTCAGCAGTTTTGGGACCACTGACTCAATTCCTTTGTCTACCTCACTTCCCCCAAATCGTGCATGTACCAAAAGCCGGTCCCCAGCGTTTTTCAAACGAATTATGGACGTTTACTTCTCCATTGAAGGAGATGTAGAACACATCCTTTTACCTCAAACAATGCATGTCCCATTTTCCTTACCATTTAGAATGCTTCCACAGCATTACCTCTGTTTTCCTGAAAAAAAACCCAAACGGGACAGCAAAGTCAGATCACCATAGCATTAGGTCTTTTATTGAAAATATGGTCCTAGGCGCAGAAGCAGTTTACATGGATCTGGTGTATTTGGTGAGAGTCTTGATGTCCTCAGAGATGGATGTTGCTTTCTCCTGCCAGCTACATGCTCTGGGCGGTTTAAGAGATGGGGTTGCTGAGCACTGTGAATTCTCATGGGCTGTAGAGAAATGTAGTCGCTGTTGCCCCAGATCCATGTATGTGGATATTCATGTTTTCTCGCTATCAAAATGCAGTGTTTTTCACGTGGTACAGAGGGGCAGGGACCCTGTGGACACAGAGTGAAGCAATGTGTGTGTTTTCCGCCGGTGCTGAGGAATGAGTGTGTGTTGAGGAGCAGCATAGCGGAGTTTTTGCCATTTGAAGCGCAGAGTGATGATGTGTCATCAGGAGAGGAGACATGCGTGCCCCATCAGGCGCTGACTGAGGTGTGTGCCAGCCGCTGCAGAGTGATGCCACTTCTGGGTGTCATGGAGCAATGGGTGTATAGGGAAGCAGCCGAGTGCTGTGTCCACTCCTTAGGGAGCAGAAAGAGCCCTCCGTCAGGGAGGACCGAAATGACACAGTAGCAGGTGCTGGTGCAGAAGGATCTGTGCTTTTGCTGGGCTCAGGAGGTGCCGTATGTCGTAGGGAGCAGAGCGATGTATGAGTCGGGGGTGTGGAGGGCTCTGAGTGTTGGGACGTAAGGCTAACGTGGATCAAGGGTGCTGAGCGATGTGCTTCTGGCAGCGGGTCAGGAGCATGTGGGAACGACTGCGCAGGGTAACTCAGAGATAAGGGACTGTCGTGCACTGCGTGCATCATCAGGCACAGTGATTTGTTTGTAAAACAGTGCAGAGTGATGTGCTTTCCTTCAGGAACAGGGTGATATGTGTGTAAATTGGTGTACAGTGATGTGTGTGGGTGGGAGGAGTGCGACAAGGCCTGCGTCATAGGGAGGAGAGGGCTGTGTGTTTCAGGAAGCACAGAATGAAGGCAATGAGGGCAGCAGTGGTGAGGAGCGATGTGCATGTCCGGAGGGTACATAATAATGTTGGCACTGGGGAGTGTAAATCTAATTTGTTTTTCAAGGTGCACTTTTTTGGGATCATAGAGCTATGTGTATGTTAGACACACACTGTGTGTATGTTTGCATATCGTTTTATGGTAAGCATATTATGGAACATTTAGAAAGTGAAGGATGTGCACACTGAACAAAGCACA